ATATATATATATATATATATATATATATATATAGAGAGAGAGAGAGAGAGAGAGAGGAATTTTCGGATGCGAAAAGATTTCGCACACTAACGTGCGAAAAGATTCTCAGCCATTTGATTTTAACGAACGGAGGTCATTAAAACCCTATTCCCAATGTACTCCACAGCCCCATGCTCTCTGCCCCCAAAACAATCCTCCCTCTCTCTCCCCATTCCGTCTCCTCCTCCCTCTCTCTCCCCATTCCGTCGCCTCCTCCCCCATTTCGCGACCCAAGACCGTCGACGACCGCCTCCTCCCTCTACCTCTTCTCGTTCGTGACCATCCCGTCCCAGGACCCCGACCCCAGCTCCGGTTCCGCCCCCGACCCCAGCGAACACCCCTACGGCAGCTCCGTTTCCGACGCCGACCCCAGCGAACACCCCGACGGCAGCGAACACCCCGACCCCAGCTCCGGTTACGACCCCGACCCCGCCCCCAACTCCGGTTCCGATCCTCCTAGGTGCGTTTTTGATTTTTTGCTTGGTTTAGGGCTTTTTGATGTTGAAATTTTGATGTTTTAGGGAAATTTTGAAATATATAGGAGAGAGAAATAGAAGCATCAGCAGGCTGTTGAAATTTCGTTGTTTTTGAAATTTTGATGTTCAGATCCTTTATTTGTTTTAGGGACTTTGATTTATAGCTATTTACTGGATCTTTGAATAACTGTAAAATTATTTTTGAATAACTGTTGTTTCATTGTTTCATTGTTGCTGTTGAAAATCTCATTCGAATAACTGTTGTTTCATTGTTTCATTGTTGCTGTTGAAAATCTCGTTCGTTGTTTCATTGTTGCTGTCAAATTGGATTTTTGAATAATTGTTTGTTGTTGATGTTTATTTTTGTAGGTAAAAATTATTCTTGACGTTTGTTCTTGATGTCTGATCCAATGGAAACTGAAGATGGTTGCTTCCATGTTGTTGATGAACAAATATCTCAGTTAGATAACTTAGTTGTGCCAATTGTTGATGAACACTTCAAACCAAAACTAGGAATGACTTTCGGCAATTTAGAAGACGCTGAAAAATTCTACAAAAATTACGGAAAGGCCGGAGGTTTTGATATTCGTAATAGCACAACAAATTATGGGAAGGATAGAGAGTTAATCTGTAAAAGTTATGTTTGTTCGAAAGAAGGAGTGTTAAAGAGCAAATCGTTGGAAATTCGACGATGTGGTACAATTAGAACAAATTGTAAGGCCTTGATTCGCTTCAAATTAGACAAAAACATTGGCATATGGAGTGTCTACAAGTTCGTGGAAGAACATAATCATACAATTACTTCGCCGAGTAGAACACATTTTCTAAGGGGAAACCGTGAGGTAACAAGTGCAAAAAAGACATTGATAAAGCAGTTTGGAGAGGTGAACATTCCAACAAACAAGCAAATGGCCTACTTTGAAAACGCTAGCGGATGTTTTCATAGAGTTGGATGCATTAAGACCGATGTGAGAAATTATAAAAGATATTTGAGAGAGGAGAGGCGCGGTCATGATGCACAAATGATGTTGGATCATTTCAAGTCGGAACAAGAGAAGAATCCTTCATTTTATTATGTTTATGAAGTTGATGAAGAGAAGCGCTTAACTCATTGTTTTTGGGTGGATGGCATTACTAGAATGAATTATCAACACTTTGGCGATGTTGTCTCCTTCGATGCCACGCATAACACAAATCAATATGGCTTGGTATTTGTGCCGTTTGTAGGCATAAATCACCATTGGCAAAGTGTTTTTTTAGGATGTGGCTTGATCCCAAACGAAGAGGCGAAGTCTTTTGTATGGTTGTTTAACAAATGGATTGAAGCAATGGGTCATCCTCCTTCGGGCATGATTACAGATCAATGTCTTGGCATATGCAAGGCAATTGAAACAGTTTTTCCAGAAATTCGGCATAGGTTTTGCATTTGGCATATCTTGGACAAAGTTCCGGAGAAGTTGGGTCAATGGGCTTATAGAACTATGGAATTTATGAAATCTTTCAAAGATAATATTTGGGACTCCGAGACTGCTACCTCTTTTGAAGAGAAATGGGTTTCAATTCTTAAGAAAAATGGATTGGAAACGCATGATTGGCTAAAGGATATCTATGAAATTCGTGAAAAATGGGCTCCGGTTTATCATAAAAAACACTTTTGGGCCGGAATGTCTAGCAGTCAAAGAAGTGAAGGGATGAATGCATTGCTAAAAATGCATGTATCAAGGAAAAATTCACTTCATGATTTCGTGACCATATTTCAGAGGGTCTTGGCGAGACAAAGAGAGGGGGAGCTTAAAGAAGATCATTGCACAGTGGAAAAAAAGCCAAAATTGAAGACTTTGTGGTCAATGGAAAAACAAATGGCCCAAATCTACACGAAAAAAATCTTTTATATTTTTCAAGACGAGCTTCAACCTAGCTTAATGTATAACATTGAGCTAGTAAAAGAAAATGAAAGAGAAAGTACTTTCCAATTAAATTTTTGTGGTCATGATGAAAAATTGAGACATATTATATATTGCAAAACAACTAAAATGGCCCGTTGTTCGTGTCTCATGTTTGAATTCAAGGGCATTCCATGCCGACATATCTTGGCATATCTTAAAATTACCAATCATAGTGAGTTACCGGAGCAATATATTCTAAAAAGATGGTGCCGAAATGTCAGAAAAAGGGTTGTTCTTAGAGATGGTAATATTATTGGAGATAATGCCACAATTAATTTTGCTTCTCGTTTTAGTGAACTAAATTGCTTAGCTAATGAAATGGTCGAAGAGGGGCTATCTTCTAATGATGCATATGAATTAATGCGTGCAATGATGATGGATGCTATTAATAAGGTGCAACGTTTGAAACTCATCAATGATGAAGAAATTGGACAAGATGTGGAAGGACATTATATGAATGCGGAGTGTTCTTATTTTTTTAAACTATTTTAAGTTGGTGCAATGATCTTTTAATATATTTTGCTATCATCACTTTTTTGTAGTGATTCAATGGAACAAGATAATATTGATGAAGCCACTGATGATTTAGAGGATTCCTTTGAGGATGGTAATGTGATTTACAAGATAATATTGATGAAGCCGTTTTTTAATATAATGTGTTTTTTTAATGTGATGAATGACTTTGTTTTTTAATGTTTGTTAATACAGATGAAGTTCTCACTATTGCGTGAAGTTTCATCAAGGTACGAAAACATTTAGTTTAGGAGTGGCGTTGTGACTCTAGTTGCAATGCAAATGCTAGTTGCATACGGTTGCAATTATCATAATTTTGGTGCATGTGATTGTAGTTGCAATTTTTATAGTTTTGGTTCAATTTTAAAATGCTACAGGTACAATTATATATAGTTTATGAACCGAATACTACTTAAAATGCTACAGGTACAATTATATGCTACAGGTGCATGTGATTGTGGTTTGTTTCTTCAGTTGTGAATGAACTGTTTACAGGTTTAAAGACATTTGATTCGTTTTGTTTTATAAAGTATCTGTTTATACTGTTGAGTCCTTAAGATTTCATTTTCCTGCTTGCAAATATATATAAGTAGTTTTTTATTTGTAAATGTTATTGTATATATGCAGCTATGGGGCAAATGGGCAGCGGAGATACGCGACCCCAAGAGCATTTGATCACCGCTGAGGCCGCTGCTGTTTCCTACTAAATGTTTCTGATAGTTCTGTAATGTTTGTGATAGTTCTGTAATAGTTCTGATAGTTCTGTAATGTTTCTGATAGTTATCAACTTGGTGTAATGTTTTTTTGCTAGTCATCAGTGGAGAAACAAGAGCATTTGATCATTATAGATGGTTGCTAGTCATCAGTGGAGAAACAAGAGCATTTGTTGGTTTAATTTGGTACTTGAGTGTGTGCTGGCAAATTAAAATCACACGAGCAAAAAGCTTGACCTTTTGTATAATCAGTATCTACCTCACAGGATTGGATAACAGGCCTGAGCGCTGCAGCGTACCCTCACGAGATAATTGTTCATAAGCATTTCCTGTTTTGTTTTCCTGAAAAGAACGAAGTTGTATCTCATGGAAGGAGAGGAATTTAGTTTGCAATTGATAAATTGAGGCAATTTATAAGTTGGGTAATTGATCGAAAAGGGACCTGTTGATATCTATTCGTTGAACATTTTCTTTAAACAAAAACTGAAACTATGGGTACTAATTTTCACACGTTGTTTCATAACAAACTACTTATCCGATCATGATCCTGGCTTAGTCCAGTAAAAGACAGCAAACATTATGAAATATCAGGCGCCAGAAATATGCACACATGCAGTAAGTTTCCCTGAAAAATAGCAAATGTTTGCTGAGAAAATGTTTGCTGCATCATCTACTTTCTGCATCATTTACTTTCTGCACATAAATTCAAATTCCCAATTGACAGAGTGATGCAGTCCAAGGACTTACAATTTTGAACATACTTCCGTCCTCAAACATACCAAATCCCATTCACTCAAAATCCAAAAATTGAAATCAGTATGACAAAAAAAACAGGCACTCATATGATATGTGCCAGAAAAGAAAATGTACCCATATAGACTTAAATTCGGAGTAAAACCTTGCCTTTCCATCTCTTATATACAAGCAGCCATGATTCTACACTCTGAAAACAGTAACTAACCAAAAAGAGGAGAATATTTCCCAAAAAAACATACAAGAACCTGTAAACTTAAGCTTTTGGCAATACATTTCCACACAGTTACACATACAAGAACCGTAAAAACTCGAGGCATAGCGCCAATTTGTACAAACATATCCACTTCATCCCATAATATATACACACTAAACTACTACAAAACACTAACACTAAATTCTGACTACTGAATCTTGCTGATAGTAAACTTTGATAACAGCTGAGGGATACCAGAGATAGAAAACAATATACAACACATATTCACAGGTTCACATACAATACTTCTGAGTTTCGAAACAGTTTATCAGTCCAAGATTAAAGAAACATGATATCAAATTTCAACAATATACAACATGTATTCACATGGTGATTTTATCTTACACCCTACTTAGCACAAATCCAATAAAAATACCGAATAAAAGAACAAATACAACAAGTTTCAACAATTCCATAATATCAATTTCAATCTTTCTCTTTTCCCGAACTTCTCCAATTGACACGGCACTTGAAACTTGCCTTGTCTGAACAAGCCTTGCCTTTGAACCTTCAAACTCATCTTCATCAGACACCCATTTGAAGAATCCACAATTTCTCACTTTCCAATTAGCGCATCCCCAAAACAAGCGACCAGGGTTCGTCTTAGTTCCAGATCTGGAGAGTATAGCCCTCCTTCCACAATGGCACATCAATCCATGACAAGTGCTTGAAGATGACTCCATTGAGTAAAATATACAACTTTATCATAAAACCAAATTTAGTCATGATCAGTAGTGCAAATTGAAATAGTTTGAACCTAACTACAATGCAAACGTATATTTGATTTGTGGTCTAAATTTATCAACCAAATCTGCATTCATGACACTAACACCATTCTGATGGGCACTACTAAATCACTGCTCAAGGAAAGAATCAACAAAAACACAGACGAATCGATCTTTATCAACTCACATTCTCCGTCTTGCTTGCATAAGATGTGCAAGCACAATCGTCTATCTACCATTTCCTCAAGCATGAGATTTCTAGATTGAAAAGGACAAACAAGGAATCGAGCATTAGAATCTATATCGACTATACTCTTTCACTTGTATTTTCTGCCGAGTTTCTGTGGGAAACTACCAAAAAGAACGATACATTCACCTTACAAAACCAACCTCGTAGCAATCAACCAAACAAGTGCGATACTTGTATTTTCTGCCGAGTTTCTGTTGGAAACTACCAAAAAGAACGATACATTCACCTTACAAAACCAACCTCGTAGCAATCAACCAAACAACCACGATAGAAAAAACCTCTACAAAGCAGCAGGATGGAGAATAATAGCATGAGATTTCCCTAATTAAAATTAAAAAGGCATCTTTGAAGCTATTAAAAAGGCATCTTTGAAGCTATAAATCAAAATTTCCCTTCAGATCCAGTAAATAGCTATAAATCAAAGTCCCTAAAACAAATAAAGGATCTGAAGATTAAAAAGGCATCTATGAACGAGTAAAAATCAAAATTTCCCTAAATCTACTCACTTTCACATAGAACAATTTTAGGATCTGAACATTAAAATTCTGAACATTTTAGGATCTGAACATTTTATTCTTTAGAGTAGTCTTTATTTTGACAAATTTCAACATTTTAGGATCTGAACATTAAAATTTCAACATAAAAAAGCCCTAAACCAAGCAAAAAATCAAAAACGCACCTAGGAGGATCGGAACCGGAGATGGGGTCGGGTTGTTCGCTGCCGTCGGGTTGTCCGCTGCCGTCGGGGTGTTCGCTGGGGTCGGGGGCGGAACCGGAGCTGGGGTCGGGGTCCTGGGACGGGATGGTCACGAACAAGAAGAGGTAGAGGGAGGAGGCGGTCGTCGACGGTCTTGGGACGGGAGGAGGGGGAGGAGGCGACGGAATGGGGAGAGAGAGGGAGGAGGTGACGGAATGGGGAGAGAGAGGGAGGATTGTTTTGGGGGCAGAGAGCATGGGGCTGTGGAGTACATTGGGAATAGGGTTTTAATGACCTCCGTTCGTTAAAATCAAATGGCTGAGAATCTTTTCGCACGTTAGTGTGCGAATATATATATATATATATGCATAGAAACTATATATATATATATATATATATATAGATAGATATATATATATATATATTTATATATAGTTTAGCTTGCATATACATGCTTATGAATACATATATATGTATACACAATCATATGCATATGTATATAGACATGTATATTAACACCATAAGCATTAATCAATTTATGACAAATTTTCGTTTCAGCAAAGGCATACAATGAGTTACCAAACAAAAATTTTGACATGAAAACATTAATCAATTTGATGATTTAATCAAATTTTATCACCAATTATAAAATAAAAATCTAACTGTGATCCATATAGCTGCTCTTAACGTAAGAACACATATGTGCAATACCGCTTGAAGATACAAGCTTCATAATCATGGAAATATGCAAATGAAATTACTTGATATTTTTTTTATTCTTTTTCATTTTTCTAGTCAGAGCGCCAGAGTAAGTTTTATTACAGGTCAATGATACTGATGAAAACTATGGATGTGCGCCTAAAGACAAGTTATTGAAAGGTTACTAGATTTTAAAGAAAGAGATAATTCAAATAAACTACCAACATGAGTAACTATAAGTGTACTATTTTTCTTATTCACTCACTAAAAAGTGAGCCCATGATGACTCACCACTATAATTTTTAAGATGTGAGTCATCATGACCCCACTCTTCGTGAGTAGTAGTAACAAAATAGCTTATGGGGAGTAGTACACTTAGTATTTTTCTACCAATATTTCATTTGGATGGTAATAACTTGTAAGAAATGCTAAATGTGTTCTTTGTACTTTGTAGAAAAATTGGTCCCTTAAATTTCTTTGAAATTAAGAATGTTTACTTCAATTTTCTTTTCCTCCTCGATCGGCACATCTATTTGGATGCCCTGTCATAATTTTGAGGAAATAGTGTAGGCAATTTTCTATATCCGGAATAGGTTTAGCTCCTCATTTTCATGTACGTCTGCTTGCTTAAGATGGTTAATTTTCAAAGACAGATTAATTAGCGAAGAAGTTCTGAGGGGGGAGAAAATTCGGTAGGAAAGGAATCATGACTTCCATGGTTTCAAGTAGACAACAAATTAACGTAGTTCTCGTGTGCAAAGTAAAAGGTGATTGTTTCGCTACGGTTCTTGGAGATATATACACTTGTTACAGCACTCATACTAATTTTTTCTTTGGGTAAATTCAAAAAAAAAATAACCTTCAAAATTAATTTGGGTGTTTCTTAGATAACCCCCTCAACTTTCAAAATGTCACAAAAAATCCCATAAGTTTTAGGGTTCTCAAAAAAACCTTGACCTTTGAATGATTTGCAGAAAACCCCCTTACCATTGTTAGTAAAAGCGGGGCTGTGTGACATATTGAAAGTCAAGAGGGTTATCTCACAAACGCCACAACTAAGGGGGGTTTCACAAAAGCTTCCGTAGGTTAGGAAATAATATCAATGTATAAGTTGGTGGGTTTTCTGTCAAATCTTAAGTGAAGTTGTGTGACATTTCGAAAATCAAGGGGGGTCATCTGAGAAATGCCCAGACATAAGGGTTTTTGGTGAAATTTGCCCTAAACTCTAATTTAACAAATATTGTAATCTAATCTGATCTGAAAGCTGAGACCTCTTATTATCACCAAACGACCTGCTAAGTCAGTTCATCTCCAAACTCTTTGTGAGTAAGAACTAATCTAGCGTTTGCCTCCATGCAAAGTGCCTCAACGGTAAAAACAAAAACAAGTCCAATCATGAAGTCGTGATACAATCTCATTATTGGATCATTTCAAACTCCATCCAAAACCCAAATCCTACAATTAATCAAGGATCATACCTCTAGTCACTTCTCTATCAAGCAATTCAATCATAGATCACACTAATCAAATGTCTTTTCAGCTTTTTCTCTTTGATTGATTGCTACTCTTCGATTCAAAGTCCTATCACACTAGCTGCCTAGAGATAACCCTTGACAGAAAGCTTGTTCCTCTAAAGAATGTCTCCTCACAACTAGTTTTTTTTGACCATTTTGATGGCCCAACCATTAGTTTATCTATATGCTATTGTTGATATTGATGTATGTATTAGTAGTGGGTTTACTCTCACATCGGTTACGAGAACATATCTCACCCTCCTCTACTTATATATATATATATATATATATATATATTTCTAAACTAAGTAAAAATTGATATTTAGAAATTCATAATACGAGAATGGGTACGTCGAGCGAAATAATCCAAACAAGGAAACCCTCATGTATATACCTCGTATCTCAAATTATTCTAAACTAAGTAAAAATTGATATTTAGAAATTCATAATACGAGAATGGGTACGTCGAGCGAAATAATCCAAACAAGGAAACCCTCATGTATATACCTCGTATCTCAAATTGTGAATCGTTAAATACCAATATTAAAACCTAAGCATAAAACAATAAATAAAAGAAATACAACTCCAAACCTCGACCAATAAGTCATGTCAAACATATCACACTTCCCTCGGATAGGTGGCATAGTTACAGAAATAACATCTGATAAATCGCATCGAATATGCCATGTATGACAACCTCAGTATTATACCTACTCTCGGGTAACTAACATGGGAACATGAATGAAATCTGTGCAATCCTCTAACTGGAATAACGATGCTTTTGTAAGGCGCTCACTATATCCTGTGGCATCACCACCTTACTCAATCACTCTGCGGAAATATGCATATCACGCTATTCTGGAAAATAATGATGCACATCGGAGTGTAGTTTGTTGCGGTCTCATTGTAGCATACCAACTAACCACCCTGAGTGTATTCCTTCACGGTCTCATTGCGGTGTGTCAACTAACCCACTCAAGGATCCATAACTATGAAACATGATATATGTGTCACTATCTATAATGACGACCTCAAAAATATATGTTACGCACCTCAACAGCTCGTGCAAATGTAACCCTAAAATGTGTACTCTAGTGTCCAAGTATGTGTCTCGATGCGCGGACCCAAACTTCGTGTTCACCATCATCTCACATAATAAAAGGATCAAGTTCACAAATTTGCAAGGTAACACGGATCGATTGACTGATGTATCTTTATCGATCGACCGGTGATATACACAAAACATGCACAAGGTAACTAAGCCTTGATCGGTTGATCGATGTTTGTGCTTCGGTCGATCGACCCGAGGTAAGTCCTCTGTTTTCTTGTAAATTATTTCGGGTGACATGTGAATTTGCTTCTATCACATAAAAATTTATATTATTCAGATAAAACACATATATATAATCTTGCTTAATGTTATTAGGGTTCACTTAACACCATGAAACACAATTATCAAGTTTTAAGGAAATCTAGTAATCCTAGTATGATCAAATTTGTATAAATCATCATGGAAACAATTATCTTCAACAAAAACTCATGTTAAATCAAATTTAGATCTAAAACCCACATCAGAGAATCCAATTTACAACTTTTTAAATCACAAAGATCAAATTTTTAAACCATACACGTTAAAGGTGTTATCTTTTCTCATAAAATAGGCTTTAAAAATCCGATAAAACCAAAAAACCAATTGAACACAAGGGATGGGATTGGAGGAGATGAAACTCACCTCAAAACTCGTTGCAATTCCCAAAAGTGAAAGAAAACACGATCTCCTTCAACAAACGCCGATGAT